ACATATTGCAAGAAAATCCCTCACTGTATGATGTGACAGCATGGAAAACTGCAGGGGCCATTAAAAACAGTGAAGGAGTATTCTATGATACATTTGGTAAACCGTGCGTGACTACTAAAAAACTACTACAGATCATTCAAAGTAAGCATGAGGAAACACACATAAAGTGCTCAAAACTTTTTTCAGAACTAAGACGGCACATGTTCCATCCTTTTATGCTACCAACCATCCAGCATCTATGTGACTCATGTGACATATGTCAAGGGCTCTCTAAGGCAAGGGCTGTGAAGGCAGGCATAGGAGCATACCCAGTGCCTCCATGGCCCATGGCAGAAATCGTAATTGATTTCATCGACATGACTGCTGATAAGAAAGCGGATGGGTGTAGATACGTGCTCACAATGATTGACCCACTCACACGATGGCCTGAAGCTTTTCCTTTGGCAAAAGCAAATGCAGAATCAGTAGCCAAAGTATTCTTGACAGAGATCTTTCCAAGGTACGGCCCAGCGAGAGTTATCAGATCTGATAACGGCTCGCATTTTAAGAACCAGACAATGACCCAACTATGTGAGAGGCTGAATATAAAACAGCATTTTGGAGCAGTGTTACACCCGCAATCACAAGGGGTGATTGAAAGGTTCAACCAGACACTGAAAAACAGATTGGCACACATGTGTAGGGCTGGAAAAATGAATTGGAAACAGGCACTGCCTATAGCCTTGATGGCAATAAGAGGAGAACCAAGCAGGCCAATTTTTATGTCACCATTTCAACTAATGTATGGGAGACACATGCCCAGTAACTTATCTCGTTCACTGGAGCTCCCACCTCCAGCAGCCACTGATGATGCTAGGGAAACTTATATGAAAACATTGGTCACTACAGTGAAGTTTCTGCAAGATAACATTGTCACGCTGACCCAGAAATCTCCAGAGCCCCCTTTGCAGGCTGTAAAAGACAAACTTACAGTTGGAGGCTACATTTATGTGAAAAACCAGAAACATTGTTGGGATCAGCTAACTTGGAAAGGCCCATTTAAAATCTCCAAACTATACGAGTATACTTTGAAATATTACTTAGACGACTCACAAACTACAGAGTCATCATTTGTGCACATATCACACACTAGGCCCACTAGTGCACCAGAAAGATCCCTGCTTGATGTAATGAGAGATATCACTACATCATCAGAAAAGGAGGCCGACAGGGGGACAGAGAGGGAAGTGTCTGACTCTATTAGTTAGAACATGGGGAGTTCTAGGGAGGGCGGAACAACCCTATAATGCACCTATAGAGTCCCTCCAGATAGCCCTGTGATGCAAGTGTCTGATGGCATAGGGACTAGTAATGACAATAGTATGAGAGACCTTCTGGAACTGTTGGGAGTTGAGGATTTTGGACTTTGGGGCTCTGGACTTCCAGACTTTGGAGATTGGGATGTTGAGGTTCTGGCCCCTGAGGTTCAGGAGTCTGGATATCAGGATTTTGACATTGGAGATGGTGGAGGACAGGGTTTTGAGGTCCTGGACATTGGAGATTGGGTTGTTGAAGGTCAGGGCGATGAGGTTCAGGATGTTGAATATCAGGATATTGCCATTTTAGATTTTGGGATTCAGGGGTTTGAAATTATGGTCGATGGACTTCAGGTTATTGAAGAATTTGGCAATTTCTCTGACTTTATGGATTGGGCTGATCAAGGGGACTGTGCATTTAACTGACGTGGTTTGGATCCGACATAAGTGATAATGGTGGGGGTGACAAATTGGCCTATAAGGGATGTTTAATTTATCACAGGATTGTGATAAAACAGGGGGAAGATTGATTATTGATTATTTTTATTGATTGATTATTAATATTATTTTTATAATTATTGATTGATTATAGATTATTTTTATTGATTGATTATTAATATTATTTTTATAATTATTGATTGATTATAAAAAAAAAAAAAAAAAAAAAAAAAAAAAATATTCATGATCCAGAATCAACTATTTAGATGAGCAATTGAGCAAATCAAAGCTGAAAACACTAATCTGGTATGCATGGGATAGACTTTAAGACTGAGGTGTTCACCATGCAGGTACTCTCAACATGATAGGACCATGGACATTCTTAGGGTTGAGGACACGAGAGTGGGTGAGTATGGTGGTAGGTATAGGGATTATAGCTGGATTTTTTATGTGGGCCTGGGAAACAGAGTTAGGCCAGGGGTATGCAAAACCAACAACTGTCTATGGTAAGGAGAAAACTCTTGGTGTCAATTCCTCAATTTCTGATTATTCAGACATTTTACCCGGCAAACAAATGAGAGAACGCAAAATTCAACCTACAAAGGGGACAGGGATAAAAATAAGACCAAAAAGGGAATTGGATAAACTGGGAGCATGTGCAAAAAAGCGACAATACCTATTTGGGGTGCAATTGTGTTTAGCAAAGGGAGAACATATGGCATTCCAGGTACCTTTTATAGCATTAGTAAACAAAGGGAAAAAAGTGGGAGCAGAAAATTCAGATTATGAATGGTACATGACAAATGACATGAGAGATAAATCATGGGGGACAATGGTGGCATATACTGGATTAGATTGGACACCAACACCAACTACAGAGTTTGCAAGACACCATTCTAAAATAATTTCCATGACAAAGGGGATTATGCAGGGAAGTGTACCATGTCTTACAATTACAGTGGACTTGAGAGGTGAGTCATTGGACCTAAGAGACAGATCAGGGAAGAAACCTCTATGGTTTTGTTGGGGATTTCTGGTAGTATTCCGTGCATACGATCCTTATGTAACAGAGTGATAACAGCCGCTGTGGAAGGGAAGGTGGCAGAAAGACAACTGCTACTAACCCAGGACCTACAGTGGGAACCAGAAGAATTGATGACCATAGCCTAAGCCATAAAGGACAATCATCAGAAGAACGGGTGAGTATGGCCTGTGATATTGTCAGAGTATCACCAGAGGAGTTGTGAGTATGCTTTATGATATTATCAAAATATTTTAATCAAAAATGTATGACTGCTTGCATGTAAATAACGCACATAACCTTGCAAAATTGTAAGAGGGACTTGGGAAAATCGGGGATGCGATAAAAAATTATAAAAATTAAAATAAAAAATTACATAATTCAAATTGATGCACGACACAAACATATTCTTTCTCCACAGCTCTTGCAACTATTGTTTTTGTTACACAGAATAGACACCGCAGCACACCCACATATAGAATATTTTATAGGATCACTTCAATGTATGTAGTTTAGGGTGAGTTGGATGCTCAGTCCGCCCAGAGGCCTTTGGGGCGGGTCTGAAGTAAGGGCTGAGTGGAAGACCACCACATTTTTCATAATGTCACATGGGGTGGTTTAGGAGTTCACAGATCGTCGTGAAGACTGGGATTAGACTGAGTATAGGATGTAATGCTGGATCAACTGATGAAGATGGGCCATCTGAGACGAGAGTGATGGATGTCCGAAGAGTTCCTCTCCGGCCAACAGGGGGACTGTTGGAATATTAACTCTTGCACCAGTTAAAACTAAAAACAGTTTAGTATTGTTTCTATTGCCAAATTAGCACTTGTTTGTGTAAATCTCAAAGAGCAGTGAGTTCAAGGTTAGTCTGTGTGAGAATGGGAGGGGGACAAGAGAAAAACAACTGTGGTTATCAGAGCAGGTGCAGGCTTTGGCAGCTGGCCAGAAGAAGTCATAGAGTCCACGAATCTGTGATGTCAGTGACCTTGGGTGTACAGTATAAAAGATGTACAGGAGGAGGCACGGGGGCTTTTTCTTTTTCTTCTGACCAGGAGGGTGAAAGACGTCCCCGGGGCCACTCCTTATCTGAACGCGAAGCGAGACTTGTGTTCGCAGACCGTTATCTTGTAATATTGCTTCAAAATCTTCAATATAACCTTTTGAAATCAGGTTTGGTATCTGTCATTTCTATTACTGTTTTAACATTGGTTTTTGTCTCTTGTTGAACTAAAAGGACCTGCAGAACGAAGGGCTGTGTTTGCGGCCTCTCTGCAGCTTCTGGGGCTGGGGAATTCTGACAAATTACTGCAGAACTCAAACCTAAAAGTGTGTTAACGTTAATGACCCGGCAGACTTCTATCCTTTGGTATCAAACATTCTAACTGGCATCAAGTCATTCCTCTGAAACACAGCTTTGTGGAACAAAAATGTCCATTTGAAGCAATCAGTGGTTCTTAAATGTGTCACAACAAATACAACCTATGAAAATGTTTATCTATGAGCTCGACAAGGTCACGTTGAGCTGAGCCATATCTCAAAATTACTGAATAAAATGATCAAAAACAAGAACCAGCCCAATAGACAAAACAACATGTATTCATGGTATATAACGAGATTATCCGGAGCGCCGTCTGAACACTCTGATAATCTATAGCACTGCGGCGAGACTCTGCAGGGAAATAGCAATTACAACATTTTCCCCTATCTATTGGAAACTTTTGTGGTCTTTTCATCTAAAAACAACATGTGTTTAAAAAAAGAAAAGATAAGTAAGTGATTTTGAGGCCCTGAAATCTAAATGACTGGAGCCTGGGTTAAATTTATAGTTTTATTTTTTTATCTTTCTTTTTGCATTAAAAGTTCTGTAAAAATGTTTTGCCTGCAATGTTTCCCCTTCTCCATGCATTTTTTATTTTCAAATTGTAGGCATAACTAACCTTCAAAGCAAGAATGAGTGACTCGGAGCATAAGAGAAGACGCCATAAGAGAAGTCCTACCTGACCTACCACCGAACCCCTCCTGGGAGAGCACCTGCAGGCCATTGGAGAACAGTGCTTTGAGGACCTTCAGTTTGTAGAAGAGTCTGATTTTCTGACTGCTCTGAGACCTGCACAAGCTCGAAAGCTGCTTCAGGCTTGGAAACTGAAATGTAAGTGGAACACTAGACTTGTTCTGTACATCAAGACCAGACATGGGCATAAATGCTTTTTATTAGTGTTAAATTATTTACTAATAATTATGCCCTAAATTATTTGCAGGTTAGACTCCAGAGAACAGCTCTCAATCACCCTCACCCTCACCCCCACCCTCACCCTCACCACCACCCGCACCCTCACCACCACCCGCACCCTCACCACCACCCTCAACCTCACCCTCACCACCACCCTCACCACCACCACCCTCACCCTCACCCCCACCCTCACCCTCACCACCACCCGCACCCTCACCACCACCCGCACCCTCACCACCACCCACAACCTCACCCTCACCACCACCCTCACCCTCACCACCACCACCACCCTCACCCTCACCCTCACCACCCTCACCCTCACCACCACCCTCAACCTCACCCTCACCACCACCCTCACCCTCACCACCACCCTCACCACCACCCTCACCCTCACCACCCTCACCACCCTCACCCTCACCACCACCCTCACCCTCACCACCACCCTCACCACCACCCTCACCACCACCCTCACCACCACCCTCACCCTCACCACCACCCTCACCACCACCCTCACCCTCACCACCACCCTCACCCTCACCCTCACCACCACCCTCACCCTCACCACCACCCTCACCCTCATTGTCATTGCTCTCTGTGTCACCCTGAAGTTCGTCATCTACCTCCTCTGGCAGCCCAGGATCTGCTGCACAGTGGATGGACAACTTTGAAATTCCATGGAGTACATTTCCGGAGGAACTTATGCAGCGCCTCGAGAGGGGAGAGAGACCAAGCCCTAAACTTAGAAAGGAGATGGTCCGCATTGTTGTTTGAGAGATGACTGCCACATGCTCCCGGGTAGAAAAGAAACATTCAATAGAGGTTAGGGAGAAAATGCAGCACTTTGAGACTGTTGTGCTTTTGTGACAAACCGCTTAAACTACTGCAATGTACTTCACTGTGGGCGGAGCCAACACGCACTTTCTCTGCAGCTCGTCCAAAATTCTGCAGCTCGACTTCTAACTGGAACTCGTAGATGTGAGCTTGTTACACCGGTTTCAAAATCTCTACACTGGCGGTGGGTTTTAGAATTATTTTATTTACTTTTAAATGTTTAAATGGCCTGGCCCCTCCTACCTCTGTGATCTTGTTCTGCCCTATGTTCCCTCTCGTGCCTGAGGCAGATCAGCTGATGCTGGTGGTCCCTAAGACACAGCGTAAGCTTCGTGGTGACCGAGCCTTTTCTGTCGCAGGTCCACGCCTTTGGGATCAGTCCCATTGAGATTATACAGGCTCAGTCTCTGCCTGTCTTTAAGTCACTTCTTAAAACTTATCTTTTTTCTCTTGCTTTTGATAATGTTTGATCTTAGGTAATCTTGTTTTATATATGTATTTTAGTCTATGTGTTTTTTGTGTACAGCACTTTGGCTGAACTGTAAAGTTTTTTAAAAGTGCTTTATAAATGAAGCTGGTATGGTATGGGAAAAAAATGGTTGCTAAATATCCTTATTCTCTGTAAGATGTAATTGAAGGAGACATTGATGGAACTGGCTATGATTCTATGGTAAAGAAACTCCAATACAGATTGATGATGTGAAGCAAAATTCGACACCTGTGATTAGAAAACGGAAACATCAAACTGACGACTCTGATACAGATGAGGTCCCACTGGAAAAGAGAGCAGCCATGCAAGACACCTGTGGATGCATTAAAGGGGATGTGGAATTCTGCCTCTTGGAGAAACCCCAGAGAGACAGCAGCAAAAAAAGAAAACTTCAGAAGAAGTCAACTTTTTACACACAGTAAAAACATCCAAGGCAAAAGTGTCAAACATCTCAAAGAGGAGTGGCCATTTTTTTTATGAACTTGACATGTCGGTCCACTTCAAAGAACTCACTGGCATTCGTCCCAAAGAGACTTTTATTCAAAACTTGGATCTGAAGGAAAAGCGGCTCCTTAACTACATGACTTCAGTCTGTGTTAACAAGAAAAAGACATTTTTTCAGACTTACACAAGACTTCAGATGATCCGAGGAGAGCAGAGTGGAGCTTCAGAAGACCTAAAACAGATGCGATGAGAAGGAGGCGTCCATGTTCTTCTGTGTGGAGGACACATGTCTGGCAGAAGAGGTCCAGCTGGAGGAGGTGCCTCTGACGCCGACTGTGATTGTGTTGCTAAGTTTACAGGATATAGATCGAGGGTTGTCAAATTCATCCACGAAAGGGCCGTGTGGCTGCAGGGTTTCCATCCAACCAACAGAAGCAGAGCAGACTCCACCCACTTCCTCAAATCAGCGAGGGTTGGTTATCTCATAGGAAGTACACATTCCTAAAGGGGAGCATAGACAAACAGACAGGCAGAGATTCCTTGATTGTATAGATAGATAGCTCTGGTGAGTTGGTTTGATTAAGTAAGTAAGTCATCCTTATTTATTTTGCGCTTTTCATAGACTTAAAGCGGTTTACAATTGTTGGGCATTAGTCTGTCACTCCACACAGAGATGGGAGCCGGGCCAGTACAGGAGGCACACGTCAGACCTATTGTACATATTTTAACTGGTAGTGGAAACCGGAGCACCTGGAGGAAACCTATTCAGACGCAGGGAGAACATGCAATCTCCACTCAGAAAAGCCCTGTTCCGACCGGGATTCGAACCAGGACCTTCTTGCTGAGAAGCGGGAATGCTAACCACTCAGCCAGTCTTTTGTTTTAATTGTAGCGGATGAATTTCAAAGCGTTTCTCTCGCCATGGTCCATAACAATGATCAGGATTTCAGAACATCCAGCTCCACATCTCTCTCCACAACGGCATCATTTGTGGCACGTCTTGCCGTGGCGTTCTCCGACTCCCCGCCGCGCTAAGCTCCCGCTCTCGGCCTCTTCCTAAACTCCTTTTTCTGGCATCGTCCCAGTCAGATGTATTTGTTTGTTTCGCCTCTGAAAGAATTGCTTAGCGCTGGAGAAAACCTGAATCCTGGTTCGGTCTTCTGCTAAACCCGGCGTCCATGTGACAGCGTGTTCTCCCGGCGGCGTGCGCACATGGCCGTGATAAATTAGCTTAATGCCGCGCAAATATTAATCACATTGTCAGAGGCTGAGCGGAGAAGCACCGCTGCTGCCGCATTCATCAAACTCTGGGCTTCTCCAACGTTCACAGTGTTCCCAGTTACATAACAACCCACGGATCCAGGCAGAGTCCACTTTCCACAGCCTTCAAATGAAACGGTTATTGTTATGTTTGTGGGACCTTTTCCTCCTTGGTTTTGGGTCTTTTCTTTTAGTTTAGGTACTTTTGGGTTTTTTGTAAAATTGTTTTTATAGGCATCTTTTATAGTACTGTTTTTTGGTAATGTTTTTGATAAACTCTTGGTCAGATTCATTTATTTGCCATTTGCAGTAAAACCACATTGGAATACATCTGCAAAAGTCCCCAGTGTGCACAAGACATTCTGACAGTCCTGGCTCCAAAATGTCCATGAGCACGTCCACTGACAAGCTGCAATCTCACCTCGGGTCGGTGGGGGTGTACTCGGAAATAGAATTACCCAATGCTTTTGTACGGCGTCTTATTTCATCTCGAAAATGTCTCTCCAGGATGGACCAAAAGTGGCTCTTGGTCTAAAAGTGGGTCTTGGTCTGATAGAATTATATACGTTAAATTATCTTTTAAGGAATATTTAATGCATTGTCTTTAAACTAACTGTGTTGTCAAAATTCACTGTGATTAAGGTGAATGGAAAGGTGAATGCATGTTAAGAGGTCAATGGGTTCCTAATAACCGCTGTCTTTCATGTTTGCATTGTTAATGGATGTCCATATTTCACTAAGTTTGGTTGTGAAGGGATTTTGCTAAAGTGCACATTTTTGGGCTGCCAGCAGGAGGTAACACTGGAAACCTTTTAGGCTAAAATGGTTGATCTGTGTCAACAAACTAATGGTTTAGGCAATATGGAATCTTTGGAATGACAATAATGTGACCATGATGTAGGTGTTTTTGTCTAAATAAATAGGCCTGTAACATACTGGAGGTCACGGTCACAGCACCAAGATCAGAGATGTGCCGTCACCGTGCAGGCGCTCCTTGTGTTGCCAGTATATATTTTTCCTTGTCTGATTGTGTTGTCTCTGTCCAGGCACTGTAGTTTATCACCATCTTTAACACTCCAAAAGGTCCGTGAGCACGTCCATTGACATGCTGCAATCTCACCCTGGGTCGGTGGGGGTGTACTCGGAAAGAGAATTACCCGATGCTTTTGTATGCCTTCTTCTTTCATCTCGAAAATGTCACTATAGGATAGTCCAAAAGTGGGTCTTGGTCCAAAAGTGGGTCTTGGTCCAAAAGTGGGTCTTGGTCCAAAAGTGGGTCTTGGTCCAAAAGTGGGTCTTGGTCCAAAAGTGGTTCTTGGTCCAAAAGTGGTTCTTGGTCCTAAAGTGGTTCTTGGTCCAAAAGTGGTTCTTGGTCCAAAAGTGGTTCTTGGTCCTCTTGGTTCCAGATGCTGTCTGAGGGGAGCATATGTTTTTGGCCAGTCTAGTTTTGTCGCGATAGTGGCTCAGTTGGTAGGGCATTGGTCTTTGAGCCTGAAGGTTGTGGGTTCGAGCCCAGCTCAAGACCTACTTCACGACTCCCACTGATGACTGCTGTTGTTGTGTCCTTGGGCAAGACACTTAACCCCACTTTGCCTGAAGCTTCCACTGAAAGATCTCAGCACCTGCAGGAGGATCAGTGAGGGGCTGGTGCTCTGTGAACTGGGTGCAGCTCTGACTGCCACCCCCCCCCCTGAACCGACCCAGAAATGGATTAAGGGGAAGAAAATGGATGGATAGTTTAGTCGCTGTGGACTTTTGAATGCACTCATTAAATGAATGAGGCTCATGCGACTGATGCACATCTGTTTTTTCACATGTTTCTGAGGGAGGGGCTGCCCGCGGCCATTTTGAAAAATACACAAAAGGCAAAAGTCACATTAGTTTCAACGACGGAGAGAGGCGTTACTACTTCTGTTAATATTTACAGTCTATTGATAAAACCAGATTCTCCAATGGGTCAAAGCCATTTAGTCTGTTACTTTCTTTTTTTCTGTTGCTTCTGTTGCAAAGCATGTTGCTTTGTGTCATTTGCAAATCTTTTTTTAGCCTCAGTCAGAATGTGTTCAAATAAAGACACATTGTCAAATTATTCTTCATCAAATTTTGCAGTGTTCATCTAGAAACACAAAATATCAGAGTTTTAAAGAACAAGAATGCACATGAGATGAGTGAATCCAAAGTAAAAGCAGAAATACTGACTGCTGTTGTGAGTTTAGTGCAGGTTCTGTGTTCTTCCCGTCCTCGGCTGAAAAAATAGACTTCTCTCTTTACTGCCATCATGTCCTTTGTAGATGTGATTTGCTGAACTAACACCGCACAGAGCTTTGAGGCTGTTGTGTGATTACTAAATGCTCTGTAAGTGGGTGCACTAATCAGGGCTGATTACCATAACGGCGACACTGACCTTAACATCTTCACAGTCTCTGAATGTGTTTACCCAGAGACGATCTTCTGCTCCTTCACAAACACATCATATCCATAAATAACCATAAATATCCTGTGTCTATTGTACGCAAGTGTATGTTTATTTATACAGCACTTTTACAGACCGAGGTACAGAC